CTAAAACAAATGCTGTGACTAATAAAGATCAAATATCTACTTACTTCTCGTTTGCATCTCATTTACGTCCATCACGGATTAGTGTCAGTCTAAAATCAATCAGACTCTACCATCGTTACTGCTGGCCACAGCGACAAACTTATTTCATCATCCAGATCTGACTTCTACACCCACCACGAGTTAAGCGCGCTATATAAATTGGTAATCACTATAGGAGCGGCCGTGTCGTTGTAATACATGGTCGTAAACCGAAATGATTGCTTTAAAACCAAGCAAACCTCGCTGGTATCATCGCAAAATATTCATTATAGGAGCGGCCGTGCGTTGTAATACACGCCGATAAACCGAAATGTTCATTCAAAAAATCCAACAAAAAATCGTTGGTCTTTACGCGAAAACGTGTTCATTATAGGAGCGGCCGTGTCGATGTAATACATGGTCGCAAACCAAAATGATCATCAGAAAACCCAACAAACAGATCGTTGGTCTTTACACAATAACGTGTTCATTCTCGGAGCGGGCGCGTCGATAGAGGCTCGCCCGTAAACCAAGAAGTTCATCAGAAAATCTAACAAACAGATCGTTAGTCTTTACAAAATAACATGTTCATTCTTGGAGCGGGCGCATTAATGAAGACTTGCCTGTAAACCAAAATGATCATCAGAAAACCCAGCTAACGCATTGCTGGTCTCCAACAACACAATATGTTCACTCTTGGAGCGGGTATGGCAATGAAGACTCGCCCATAAACTAAGAAGATCATCAGCAAACCTAGCTAACCCATTGTTGGTCACAACAACGTAACATGTTTGTCTTTGGGAGTGAAACGGTCAACGGCGGCCTTCCCGCAAACTAGGACGACCATCGTTCTAACTTAACAAGATCGCCAGTCTTATAAAGACACAACAATAATACAGTTAGAACAGGCTTATCGTTGGCACTTGCCTGTAAGCCACAGTTGCCTCAAACTCAGTAAGCACAAACAAGTCATTCGACTTATCTCTAAAAAGCCAACAACTCAATCATTGATCATTACGGTGTTCATTCTCAGAGCGGGTATGTATCGACGCAGATTTGTTTGTAAACCGGGATGATCATCAGAAAACCCAACAAACAAATCGTTGGCCGCAACAACTCTTGAACGAAGCACTCGACGAACATCATCTCTTGAATCATCTAAGTCTGAGATGATTTCCAAAGTATCCACCACGTTGGTTATCAAACTTTACTTTGCCAAAATCGAATCAATTCCACAAAGTCACCGCGTGACCTCGCATTCTCCACTTTGACGACCTCGCTGAAACAAGAAGATTCACGCTGATGCGGATCAGTGTTACCTTCCTCAGATTCGATAACGAAACAGTTTTCATCATCTGGATGAGTCCGCAGAGACTTGGGTCGATTCACTTTGCTGGAGAAGGATTCGCAACATCTCGGATCTACGTCGTCACCTCGATCATCTCTCTCGAGGTCCGCCTTGCAATGCAGTATCTTTCGCAAAATGACCTCGTTGGCAAGCTCCACCTTGACAGATCCACCTCGCGTTGACCGCTACTAGCTGTTACCAACTTTCACTTTGTTGTTTTTGCTGCTCTACCTTGACGAGCACCTCGGCAAAATCAGCAAGGAGATATGCTTATTCATGACAATGAGCAAGTTGACCTCTCCGTGGTCGAATTTTGCCTCGCGCAGCTTTACCTCGTTGTCGTAGCACCAGCGCAACGTTATCATGACGGATCCCGTAGCTTTACCACAACACTGAGTTGACCTCACACGATCTTCACCGTGGCAACAAAGTTTCTGACTCAGCCAAAACTGATAGCGCAACAACGCGACGAAGCCGACAAGGTGACAGAGTGACGAGGCCAGTCTTGCGTTGACGAGATCGACGAAGCAAACTACCAAGTTCTGTAGAGCGACGAAGCAAACTACCAAGTTCTGCAGAGCAACGATGTGTATCGCTAGGACTTTGAGGAATCACCAAACTCGATCTCACCTAGTTGCATGTCTCCTCTCTCCTCTCACGATCTTTTCTCGTCGGTCTGAGTCACTGTTGCCGCTTCGCCTCGCCGGGAAACTCAATCTTACCTAGTCACCGTCATCCGCGTCAATCCCGTCGCCATCTCACCCAGTTGCCGTCTCCTCTCTCTTTCTCTCTCAAGCTGGTCACAATCTCGCCGATGGTCGCCTCTCTCTCGGGTTGTTCACGATCTCGCCGCTGCTCCTTGTTCATTCTCGGCTTCACCGACAAGACCGCTAGTAGAAAACTTCACGAAGCTCGTCGCGTCTCTCTCGGCTACGACATACTTCGCGTCGCGAAGACCTCTCCATCAACGAACGCTATTTCTCCGGAATCATCTAAGTCCGAAATAGTCTCCATGTTGTTCTTGTCGCGCGAACGGTCAAGTTGTGAGTCCATAGAGTCATAAACCATTCTGTTCAATTCGCCTCTCCGCTGCATCAAAAAGCAACAATCCGAGTCAATTTTACTGGAACAAAGCCGACCTTGTTACCGATTGAGTTGCCGAGTAGTCACGTGATGGTGCCGCTGAATCATCGAGTCACTGAGTTGCCGAGTAGTCAAGTCACTAAGCCGCCGAATCATCGAATCATAGAGTCGTCGAGTTGTCAAGTCAATGGATCGCCGGATCATCGAATCGCCGAGTCACCGAAAAAAAAAAATCTAGACCGAGACAACTCACTGAGTCAACTCGTCCGAGTCAACTCAGTGAGTCGACTCGCATGCTTTTAAACCGCCGTTCGAATCGCTGATCTCG